GAGAACTGGAAAGCTGCTGTGTGCCTTAACGAACAAATTTTTCCTTTTTCGCTTCCTTTTAGAAAACCTTAACAAAGACTAAGCCCAGAAACTTCGACAAAACATAAGCCAAGGCAACACGCGCTGGAGAACACGCGCAATTAAAAGAAGTGATACTAACAGTCACAAAACGTCCCAGTAAGACTGCTCAATAAGAGGCTTCTTTCTGCTGAACGCTTCAAACACCGCCTTTCGGGTAGTATTTTCCAATTACACACGCTTTAAATACGGAATGTGTGCTGTACACGCGAGCCTCGGTACACGTGCGGTAGAGCAAAGCTGCTGCTCCAGATGACGTCTCTGCAGCCCCAAAGAAAATGGAAAACTGCGACTGTACGTGCAAAGCTGACAGAGGCGAACGGTGGCGGGGTCCAGCACCCAGGCTCAGCGGGCCAGCTGTCCTTCCCTTTCTACCAGGGAACCAAAAAACAAAGTGCACACTGACTTCACATTTCCGGGGAGCGCCAGGAGACCGTGGGGGCTCCTCTGCAGCGCTGGCTCTTTGACAGGGAACTGACTCAAGCGCCACCTCAGGCTCACAGCAGCCCTGCTGCCCGCGGCGTCGCCGGATGTGTCCCAGGAGCCGACCCCGGGCTCGGCCGGCGTCCTAACCGCGTGGCTGCCATCCAGCGTCCCCTGGACGGCGTCCGTCCTCCTCTGCACGGTGACCGACCAGGCGGGCTGCTGGCATCTTTGGAAGCCGCCCCGAGGGGGAGAGGGTGCACCGCCGCAGGGCAGGGAGCCCCGCCCGGCCCCGCGGGAAAGCTGCCCGAATTTTGCCGCCAACCAGGGGCCACAGCCCGCCCGACGTCCCTTACCTTCTTGCCGCTGCCCTTGGGAGGCTCGGACTCCGGGAGACTGGCGCCACGGGCCAGGGACAGGACGGCCATCTTCTGGCCCTGTGCGAGGCACGGTTCCGGCGGCCCCGCGGGGCACGGCGCGACCTCGGCCTCCTTGCCGCCTTGGTACACCACCCTGTGGATGCTCCGGGAGCAGCCCGTGCCGGCGGTGGCACCGCGGACACGCTGGCGGGCACCCGCGATCCAGTCAGCAAACGTCCGCCAGGCGCCTCGGGGCCGCCTCGGGCGCCCTGTCATAGCCGCCCTGGCGGGCGGCGGCAGTGAGCGCCGGTCTCCTGTCAGGATGCGCGGCCGCTCTTTTACCACGCTGCCGGCCCGGCGCTGGGGAGGGGACGCTGGGGCGGGCGGCGCGGCGCGGCCGCCCCTCCGAACATGCCCTTCCTGAGGCGGGAGCCGCCGCCACCTCCCTCACATCATCGCGCTCGCGGTGGCCGCGGAATCGCGAGGCGGAGATTTGCGCTGTGCCCACTCGAGCCGGGGAGGCCACGCTGTGCGAGCGAGTTTCTCGCCCCGCCCCAGCTCCGCCGCTGCCCGGGTTCCCACTCCACCTCACTGTGGACACCCACGCCGCCCGCGGGGAAGCGGCCCTGGGCAGAGCCCAGTGGGGACGAGGCTAGCCTAGACGCTCCCGCCCGTCGGGCGTGGAGGCGCGCGGCCCCGAGGACGCCGAGGGGGCGGCCAGGCCACGCCCACTGGAGCAGGGAGGGGGGCTCCTGGGCTGCCC